TTGTCAGTGAGAGCTGGTGTGTGCAGAGCCTGTCTGGAGGACTCCTTGTGCTTCTGGAATTTGGAGCATTGAGGCCTGGCACGCACAAGCACTTGGCTCTGGAGCTGTACCAAGATAATTAAACTTCAGGTCTGAGCTCTCTTTGGAGACAGTAAGATTGTCTTTGCACAGTGGTGAACCTGACCTAGTAAAACATTCTGTCACTTGGGCCTGAATTGCTGCCACACCTGAACAGCGCGTTTCTCTGGACCTGTCCTCCACATCTCCATCTTCTGTCCTCAGTCTCTCTCCCACCTCAATAATTGTCTCCTGCTTTTCTCCAGCAGTAATGCTCCTCATGTATTTTGGTGGCAGTGCCAAAATGGTTGGCTGTGTTAGTTAAAGCTTTGCTCCTGGCATATCACATAGTCCCTGTATCACCTCTTTTTTCCTCTACCAACTACAGTATCTCAGGTTGCTGTCATCCTAAATACTAGAGAGTTGATAACATATTTATCCATTATTTGTAAGGTGCTCAGGAGCTGGAGTGATATAATCTCCAAGTAAACAGAGTTGTCCTGGATTAAACATGACCTGAATGATGTTTGTGTGTCATAGCTCATGTAACAGGCCTATAGAGTTGCAAATATCAGTGATGATAATAAAAAAAAGACTTCAACATGATTAGTAGGGAATGTGAGTTACTTGGTTTCTGAACCAAGTCTTGCTTTTGAGTGAATCTTATTACATCTTTAGGTTGTGTAGATAAAACCTCTGACAGAGCCAAGACAGACAGGTGAAATGTGGCTTTTCCTGATGTCAGACACACGGGTGTGTCCTGCAGCAGCAGGGTCAGGATTCCACCCTGTGTGTGCAAATACCACATACCATCTTCACTTTTTCTAGTCTAGTCTTTCCAAGCAATCTGCCCATTGACTCTCTTTACCTTTCTGTCTTGCATTCTTGGAAGAGACCAGAGCTTGTTCATTTTCAGTTGGACATTTTGGGTTTGCTTTTTCATTAAGGTAAGCTATGTTTTATGTATTTTCATTAGTTCTGATACTGTTAATCCTGTTTCATTCATAGTGCTGTTGAGTCTATTCAAAATGTGAGAGCAGCACATAAACACTACTGGAAATGGTTGATGTATGAAGGTAATTACTCTTCTCATTCTTAAAGCAAATGTGATTGGTAGGTGGATTCATAGAGAAATTCAAAATTACTAAGAATAACAGCAGTGGATTGAAATACCTGACCTATCAGTTATAAATCAAGTGACTTGATATGCATCCTCATCTGGTCTGAAGAGAATTTCTGAAGCTAGGAAACATCATGCCAAATTATAGCACTTCTGATATCTTTATTGCTGTTTCCTGTGTCAAAAGTATTTGCCTAAGATTTATTATAATCTATGACCTTCCACTACATTAAAACAAATATAGCAGCAGTGAAAAATAACATCTGTGGCAGGAAATGTTGTAGCCAGTGCATGAGCATTAATATGCATGCTATGAATACTTATGTACTCTGTTTTGTAAATAAATGTAACCAAATATTAACACACTGCTCAGGAATTAGCCCAGGTGAATCTCCACTTTTTTTTTTTCCTCTCTAGATACATCATTTTTACAAACTATAAGTACCAAATCACACCTACTGAAGAAGGCTACTCCAGATTCCTCTGCAGAATCTGAATCCAATGTAACTAACAATGAAACTGTCAAAGTAGAAGGTTTTTTGGAACTGCACATGAAAAATATTCTAGTTCCTGTGCCTCCCATCAGAACAGCAACATCTGACTCTAAAAGTTCAGCACATTTTCTCCCTGTACCTGTTCATTTGGTGAAGGAAATGGACAAAACTGAAATAAAAGCTCTTGTCAGGTTGGTCCCATCTATTTAATTTTCAGCATAATTATAATGATGAGAGGTCTCTGCACAAGCTGTCACCTACCTCTGTCTCTGCCAGGGTCAGCTTTTTGGCCATAGTTCGCTCAGTTGTAGCCAGAGTTTCTTCCTTTGAAACACAAAGATACTGGTGTGGGTTATCCCTGAGAACTAATCAGAGTACTTCTAGAGAAAATTATTTCAATGGAGATAGATTGGTTAGTGTAAATGTATTCCTTTAGAAAGAGATTTTGCTAGGATGGTGCCTTAAAGCTGTGTATTCACTTTTAGCTGAAAAAAATACCAAAGTACTCTCATTTGAGAAGACCAATTTTTTGTCTTAGTCTGATTTTGACAGAACTCTGTTCCTGAATATCATTAGACATTTTTTAGTTTCTCTGCAGTGCAGAATGGAGACAGGTTTAGAGAGCTCAAGACTGTCAGGCAACAGTGTTATAATCTTCCTGCTAGAGCTAGGGCTTTGATGTGTAGCACCTAAACAAAACATACCCTGTCAATACTAACTGCCAAGTACCGTATCATGGCCTCTCCAAAAGTGCTATTGCCTCTAATCTAGTTTTTCTTAATATAATTTATTTTACAGTGACTTTTTTGCAGACCTTGTGAAAGAAGACAAAACTTTGCTGTCCCTTAGCAGTATGTTGGCCATCCTAGATAAAATACTGAAGAAGGAGGTAAGAATAAACTGCTTGGATCTTGGGGGGCCGGATGAGAGTGGGATTCCTGATTTCTGCTTCTGTTCTGTTGTTGGCTAGATACTAGTTACTGTGTGGTTCATGACCCCACTCAGCTAGAATGTGTGTAGCTAGAGAGTGAGTATGAAAGGTGAGAAAACAACTATTTTGGGATAGTTGTTGGCCCAGGACATCTTTCTCACGATCTTTGGGCAAGACTGCCCTGCTTTTCTGCAGTTAGAGCACATGAGTCAGTAGGAACCTTCTCATCACTCTGGGACACAGAGGTGAGCCAGATGTTCACTCTCCCAGTGAAGGAGCAGACGTTGGTGTATCAGGTACCAGTGAGCAGCAGCCAGAAATCTGAGCAAGAAATGTCAGAAACTTTCCTGTTCAGTGCACAGTTTTGCCTTCTGCCTTTAGGAGAGGTTACTTCTGTGTTACCCTTCATTTCCAGGTGGCATCCCATGTGCAGCTGCACCTGCTTGCCATTATTTGTACCACAGTTTTACTCTCAGTAACCTTTTGATGTATACATGCAAAGTGCACACCAGATAGAAGCCGTGATTCTGAACGGAGTCATTCTAATTCAGCATTTTGATTCTTGCAGGGTCAGGAGTGAAAAGGAGTCAGGCTTAGAGGTTGCATGTTTGTATTTATGTATAAAAACTTGGAGAAGCAAAGAGGAAAAACTGCAAACAAGTCAAGAATATTATATCATAATTAATCAGTCTCTGCCTTTGACTGAAAAGCTCTCTTTAAAGTACTAGGTCTGTGAGGAAGAATAACTGCCAGAATGGCCTCTTTCTTGTAAGCCACCTTCTTGCTGTTGGGAGATCTTGGGGATAGATTTTTAATGTTGTAGATTCTACATACAGCTAGCAGAGCCTATAAATAGATTAAAGAAAGAAAAAAGTAACTGGCAAAAAGAAATAGAACCCTTTCATGAATTGCAGATGCTAAGCTGAGCTTTTTGTGTTGACAGATGCAAAGAGGAGTGAGGAGAGGTGCATGCCTTGTGTTTTTCCTTAGCTTTCATGTGGAGTTCAAAGCACTGCACAACACAAATGAACACTGAAAGTTTGACTGAGTAATACGGTCATTGTTTTTTCCAGAAAAGAAAGGTTAAAGAAAGAGTCAGAATAAGAATTGAGGGAGAATCTCCTTTTCATAGGGTGTGTTTTTTCTGGTGCAGTTTGCCTACTGGCACTCTGAGTGTATCCAATCAGCAGATAATCAAGAGAACCAGTAAAGATGACCTTCCCCTGCAAAAGCTATTTTTACAGTTGCCTTTCAGCACAGCACCATACTTCTGTAGTAAGAGAACAGCTCTTGGCATAATAATGAAACATGGCCTTTCTGTAGAAAATAAATATAATTTTCTTAGCCCTACTATGATAGATCATTAAGATCCCTTTTATGTGGCTGTAGGTTTGTTTAAATGGTACATGTAAACAAGAAAAACACAGCTGTTAAAAATAAGAAGTGACATGATCTTGTGCAGCATTAATTAATTCTGAATGAAAAATATATTTTGCAGGTATGCAATGGGTTTACAGAATCACCCACAGCTGCTGTTTCTGTTGCTGTTGCACTAAGATATTCTGTTCTTTCGGGATTTCAAAGGTGAATTTGTGTCTCTTGCGTTTGGGGCCTTTGGACAAAGTATAAAAATAAAAGTATGTTAAATATGGTAAACTGCCTTTGAAACCTTAATTGTGAAACCAATACCATTTTCAGTATGTACTACAGACAATATCATATATGCCAGCAAAAACCTTTTGCCTTACCAAAGGCGAAGCAGCTGTGAGGGTGACTGCTGTGCTAGCCCACAATTTCTTTGTCAGGTTTCAGTTGCTGTTGGCCTGAGGACATTTTCTTGGTTTTGTTTTTACTTCCCAGTATTTGGCGGGACAAAAGGAGTTAACTTGAGCTGTCATAAAAGTATTTTCTTCATAATTCTTATGGATCAGGCTCAGAAACAATATACATTCTTTCTTTATGCATCTAATCTACATGCAGACTCTTCAAATAAATTGCACTAACTGAAAAAAATTACTTGTGTGTGTATGCTCTTTCTCCAGAGTGCTCTGTATATTTGTTGGAGACATGCAAGTCATACCAAACACAGAAGATGGGTGAGGTTTCTCTTCATTTCAGGGAGTCAATTCCCAAAAGCTTTATACATGTTCCTGAGTGTCCACGTGTATGATGAGATCTGCGCTAAGGAATCGGTCATGAGCTGGTGTTCATTGAATTTAGCTTTAGACAAAGTACAAAACATCCCCAAATATGTCTGTGAAGACAAACTGCTATCTCTAAGTGCCACCTTATGAGTTTAGTGGGAGGTTTGAAGTATAACCTTTCTATATTAATTGAAATGCAGATTTTATTGAAAATGGAACAGTGAAAAGACAAAGTAATAAAGAAGACAATTATATAGTGTGTACCTCCCTATGACTGCAGGGGGTACATAGGGGTTATGCTGAGTTCCTTATTGAAAGTCATTGGTACTTAACCTGTAACTTTTTTTTTGTCACTTCCCCTTTTTCTTATGTGTAAATTCCTCATAGTCTTTAATACTCTTTTTTTAAAATACCTTAAGAAGGATTTCAGTTTTAATTGGTGTTTACATTATGGCATGTACTAATGCAAATAGTTACTTGCTCCTGTGTCATGAGTTAGTATTTACAGAATGATGAAAGAACAGAACATCTTACCTCATTGGAAGTTGCTGGTTAAATACATGGATGTGGTTTTTATTTACAGAAAAATACTCATCATACATATTTGTGAGAAAGAACAGTCTGGAAAGACTAGCTCCAAACACTATATTTCTCTAAACTGGAAACAGGTAAGATTCACTTTCTGGAAACAACATAAGAGAAAAGCTTTTATAGCAGAAATAATAGAATATATTTATAAATTCATAAAATGACACTGAGAATTACACTTCTCACTGCAATCTGGACCTTTGCAAATATTTCCTTTTCTTACCCTTGCCAGAGTACTCTTCACAGGTCTTTAGAGAGTGTATTAGAATGCATAGGTTTGAGGAAACCTTCAGTAGCTACTGTAGATCTTCTTCAAGAAGGCAGAGTTACAGTGCAAAAACACAAAGGAAAATATGAACAATCTGCATGTTTAATATAAAAACTGCTGTGAAAATGGATTACTATCCTGTTTCCTAGATTAACCAAAAGCCCTTTGAGATTCTACTTGCTGTTTGTTTTCTGCCTGGGAATTTGTGGGTTTACATTTGTGCCAAACAGTTTGTTATTGTTTTTAAAGGATGGTGAAGGAAATGACTTCTTCTCTGCTGTACTTGGATTCATTCTTCCTGTAGCATATAGTTATCAACCTAACTTGACAGTAATAGCTGTTGGACCAAACAGGAGCCTTGGGATAAGTGGAATTTCTCTGCTTTTTGCCCTACTACAAGGATTAGCTGAGTCACGAATTCTTGCAGTGATGGAGGTAAGAGGTGGTGCTCAGCTGGGGTACTTCAGAGTGCCTGTTCTTGGTCACATGCTGTACCTGCTCACACATGACTTCTGTCATGCTGAAAATAAGTGAAAACAGCACATATACTTTAAGTGAACTTAATAACCGAGGACCAGTCTACCCCAGCAGTGTGTTTCTGACAGAGAGCATGGGAAAGGAAATAAAGAATATGTGGCTTTTCCCCTAGTTTACTGTCTCCATACAGTACCACATTAAGGATTTCTAAATTTAAGAAGTGGGAGGCTGTATCCAGACCAGTGTGTGATAAGTGCCAGTGAGCACATCTTCCTTGATTTTGTCTAATCCCTTAAAGAACTCAATTTACTCTTGGCTTGGCAGCATCCTATGGGTGTGAATAACACAGTTTCTCTGTGTGTTCCATGAAAGAGTAACTGTCGATTGCTTTTTCTGATTTTTTTTTTGATTGCTTTTGAGCCTTCTAGTTCTTTATGAGAAGGCACAATTGTTCACATATGCAATTTTATTGTTTCCCAGCAAGTACCCAATAAAGACATACTACTCATTAAGCTGCCAGCTAAGTGAACTTTTACATGCTTTATGCTGTAGACTTCTCAAATGTTTTAATTCACATTGCCCATATGTAAATTGTCTAAGCTAAAATAATTTCTACATTGATATCCAGTCTGTAAAAATAGTGTGTTTGCACGTTACTAATTAGGAGTATGGAATGGAAAGAATTATTGATATTCTGAAATGTAAACTTGGAGATAAAAAGGAAGTTAGGCATATATCTTTGAAAACATCATTGATTATTGGTAGTCTGCAGGTAGCTGCCTAATAGCATTATGTAACATGTGGGGATTTTCTAATGCACGTGCTTCACTTTTTAGAATAGTTGAAAAAATACTTCTGTCTCTTAAAATAGTCTTCCAAAGAAATGTTAATAATCTCCATATACTATTGACAAGTCAGAATATAATTTCTGTGAACAAATTGTATTGATGCAGAATGTCATCAGGCATCCAAAAAAGTCACTTCTTGATGAAGCAAAATTTATCCCTATTTTCTGCCAACAGAAAATGATCCATGAAGTGAACAAGCTCCATGCTCCCCTTCCCTCTTAACATTTTGTGTCTTTAACCGAGCATTATTTCTTTTCAGTCATAAAATGAAAACTGAGATTCTTCCTCTAATTGAAAAAAAGAAGTTTCACAGGAGATAAATTTTAAATTCTGGTTTTTAGAAAAATTTCCATTTTTACACATTTGTATTTGAAATTGAAAGTTGCTCATTCTTTCTACTAATATTAGCAACTTAACTACAAAAGCTTTTTGTTTCCATGTATTACTGAAACAAAGTTTGGTTTCCAGGAGTATCTTTTATTTCTTCTTAAATAGGACACAGAGATAAATTTAATGCAAAGTGTAGCCAAAGCATTAGTGGGTGCTTCTACACCCCACTTTGGAGTTTATCTACCTCCTACCCAAGAACAAATAAAGAAAATAAAAATATTAAGAGACCAGTTTCAGGAAGAGTGGAAAATGCTTCAGTGTTCAGGTAAGTTGTCTATTCTTATCTTTAGTTCTTATTAATATATAGAAGTTTCTGAAAAGATGGTAAAATATACCTGGATTCTGTAAGTCAGTCAGTGGCAGCACATTGATCTAATGTAAAAAGGGTGAAATTCTAAATGCTTTTAATTCTGCCACCTGATTCCGAAAGCCCAAATTTCACAGCATAACAGCTGTATCCTCAGGAACTTCAAATACTGCAACTCCACAAGTTGGAAATGAAACTAGCAAAATATGTGCTTGAAGAATGGTTAATAAGATGTGCACAGGCTGTGATTGCTAAAATGAGGTGACATTTTTATGCATTTAACTTGTCCACAAATAACTTCACTTAACAGTGGTTAATCAAACTTAAAGTACATTCCCAAGCAGCTGAGGATCAGGAGCAGCAGTTGTGTGGGAATGGGGTTAAGCAGGTGTCGTGTTCGAGCATACTTGTCTAGAGACATTTCTCTACTGAGGAACTTCTGTTTTTCCAGAGAAAAAACAATGATTAAGATCAGCATCTCTCAGAAGAAAATGCCCTGCTCACTTTCACAAGAAATGGCCAAGTGCAGTGGTCTGGACCCAGTAAAAATGTTCCTATGGGGTTGGGAATGGTGGTAACTGTTTTTCTTATTGCTGTTCTTTTCAGTGAAGGATGGGATTTCTAGAAACTGACTTCACTTCAGAATCCTTTTTACACAGCAGAAGAAAAAGAAATTGTGTTGCTGTTCATGTTGCCTTTTAAATCACAGAATCATAAAGGTTGGAAAAGACCTCTGAGATCATCAAGTCCAGCCGTCAAGCCAACACTACCATGACCACTAAACCATGTCCTGAAGTGCCACATCTACATGTTTTTTGAACACTTCCAGGGATGGTGACTCCACCACCTCCCTGGGCAGCCTGTTCCAGTGCGTAACCACTCTCTCAGTGAAGAAATTCTTCCTTAATATGCCATCTAAACCTTCTCTGCCACAGCGTATGCCCATTTCCTCTCAATCAGG